AACTTCTAATGAAAGCATTATTACTAACCTTTTCCTGAAGAAGCATATTGAAGAAAACAACATTGAAAATTATGATATACATGTTGAGGAAGAAAAGGAGAAGATCACTGTAGTGTATAAAGGTAATGCTGCAGCCTGAGGACGAGAGTACAGGACTCACAGATATGTGAGCGGAGAATCCAGACATAACCAACACTACCATTCCTGGCCTTTAAACATTTACAAATATGCACTGGTAGTACTGACCAACCTTTAAAGCCAACTAGCATGAGCCTTGGCGGACATAACTACAACAATAGCAGCGAAACGTCTGGATTTTCTGAATTCTAACTTTTTTATAAATAAAAATTAGATGATTAGACACTGAAAGTGGGCAACTAATAAAAAAGTATTAGTGACACTTTCAAAAAAAAATTGTTTGCAAACATCTTAAGGATGCACGGCTGATTACTGTAAAATGGCAAATTAGCCTTTACAGTATTTTTTAAATACGAATAGTAAACCCATGCTCAAAAAGCTTATAGCATGGAATTCAGATATAGCATTCTTGAAGTGCAAATGTATTTTTATCCTATAATGAAATGTTTTGGAGCGGCCATACTTGGCGCAGCATATGTTTGTATTGCATCAGAAAACAACGGACGAATAATCGTTTTTGGAGATGATTTGGGCGATACGGGCAATTTGCAAAAGGCCACCAACGATAGCGCCATAGGCTATAGCGAGGGCCGCCTAACAAATGGACCTACATTTGCCGAGTATATGGCAACTGCGCTGGAGCGACAGCTTAAAAGCTACGCCTATGCCAACTCCACCTTAGACAGCCAGTGGACTCCATCTGCGGTCGACGGCTTTGAAGTACCGGCACTTGACGAGCAAGTGATAGAATTTACTGAAAACGAGCGCGACTGGATTCGGCGCAAAACGGGAATTCGCAACAGCTTGGCTGTGGTAAGCGCGGCTACTACAGATCTGATTAAGAGGAGCGATCAGCTTCTTTTTCAGCAGGAGCCTGACAGACACGCATTTGCGCAAAAGCTGGTAGACGGAGTGTTTAGCCAAGTAAAGGCGCTGGACAAACTGAGGTTTGAAGGGATTGCGGTAACCAACATCCCGGCACTTTATATAATGCCCCGCTGGCGACTGCTGGCATCGGTAGATGTTTTGCGCACCTTCATAGGCTACACGAACAGGCTATTTCGCCAATCCCTAATCGAATACGAGGAGGCTCTCAAGGATACCAAGCTTTGGCTCCTCGACGTGGAGTCCTTTTTGCTTGTCACTGCAAACAGCACCTTTTCGAAATCAATCGGGGCCAAAAACACCACATGCTCGTGCATAACAGAGCAAGGAAGCTGCACAGATCCCGCCGACTTTATATTTTACGATGACATGCATATGGATGTGCGGCTGAATCACTTGCTGGGCTTGGCAGCGGCAAATCTAGTAAATGGTGGCGACATCCAGTATAACGCTACGTATTTCCATAAGCTGGCCAAAGACTATGAAATCGGCGTGCTGTACCACACGACAGCCACCACGACGCAAAGCGCCGATGCAACATATACGGGCACCGATATGCAGCCAATTTCAGCAAGCACCACGACGGCAGCTGACCCTCTGCTTACCAGCACCCAGACCGCGGCAGCCAACTGCTCGCTTACCGCCATGTGCACAGCAGTAAGCGCCGGCCCGGCAACTCCGTCAGCTTGGGGAACTCTACACCAGATATCGGGCTCATTTATGCCGAAACGGCCAACTATTATGCTTCTAAGCCTTTTGCTAGTACCGGCTTTAATTTAACTGTAATTGCCACATTCTTCGGAAATGTCTCGGGAGGGCGAAGGGTCTTGGCAGCTTTGAGTCACTTGTCCCCGCAAAATTTGCATTACGGCTATTAAGATGTGGAGAGACCACTTGCCGAATTCCGCAGCCATATGCAATACCCTTTCGTGTATGGACAGCCCATGCTGTAGAAAGGAAGCATCTGCTGTTTTTTTTACTCGGCAAACCCTTGCATAAGAGCGGTAGTATAATGACCTATTTGTAATGACCCAAGGCCCTGGGCCACCCTATCTATAATGGGAATACCTACAAGGAATGCGCAGCCATGTCCAGAGACTTTAGCCCAGCTGATAAACAGCACACTGCGGATAAAGCATGAAAAGACTAAAAAAAAAGGGTGGCTAGTGAGGGTTTGAAAGCAGAAAGATGCGGAAGTCTTGTATGGATGGGCAAAGTGGGCAGAGATGCGGGAGACTTTATACAAGTGTTCTTTATAGCAAAAGGAATAGGTAGAGGCGTCAGCAGGGAAGGCCAAAGCCATGCGTAAAAGAGGAGGACAAAACCACATGAAATGAGAAGATGCAGCAATTACCACGATATTTGCGGAAAAACGCTGATGAGTTTAGTTTTTTTTTTACTTGAAGAGGTGACTATAAATTGGCCTGACCGCGCCACTCGGGAATTTTTTTTTCCATCTTTTTCAACACCCCCTCCTTTTTTTTTCTTGGCTGCGCTTTTTTTAACCCTTCGTATTTTCTTATCATTATTTCAGTGCCTTTACCCTTGTCTAGCTTATTGCCTCTTAAAGGTACATTTCCAAACTACGCTAGCTTTTTTTTTTTCGTTCTTGCCGTCCTTTTCTCTTTCTCCCCAACCAGCTTTTGTCTTCCGTAAAGTCTTTTCTCCCCCCAACCAGTCCCGGAATTACATTTATATTTTTTTCACCTCCATCTCTGTTACATTAAAAAGCTGGACTTTTCCTGGGCCCAAATGAACTTTTCGTTTGCGTCGGCGCCGACAACGCCGTTTATACCGCAAGTGGATGGGCGAGCAGCGGCAACCGGAGCGCAATTTCTCTCTCCCGACGTCGCCGTAGCGCCAATGAGCGCTGCAGCAGCAGGCAGCGTAAGCATGTCGCGAGCAACAGACCCGCTCCACGACATTGGCTCGCCAGCAGCTCTGCAGTACCTGTTTGCACTCAACAACAGCCCGCTGATGATGAACGACCCGATGTCCTCGCCCGCAGTCAACGGAATGGTAATGCCGCCAAAGTACACGCAGCCGGCAGCAGGGCCCGCCAGAGCCGGTCAAATACAGCCGCCGCCAGCCCTAATAGTGACGTCGTCGCCGGCAGCAACGGGTGCGCTTATGGCAGCGCCCTCAACATCCGCGGCAGTCCGGCCAGCTGCAGCATCCAGCAAGCCGGTGTCCCCGGCAATGGACAACCAGCCGCCAGGGTTCTTCCGGCCCTCTGAAGTGTTCAAAACGCCCGAAATCCGCACGCTGCCGGACCCGCAGATGGAAGAGAGGACGCCGGAGCTGCCCATGTTTGACGATGTCGAGGCACTGGGCACCACCTCTGCAGCCCTGAGCGCCCTGAGCCCACGTACCCAGACGGCTCAGGCGGGGCTGTCGCTCTTGGCAGCATCCGCAACGTATGCGCGTAACTCGGGAGTACCGACGCCCGATATGGCAATAAGCCCACAGCAGCAACAGGCCAACTCGCTTGGCTCGCAGTCACCCTTGGCTGGCAACGACACCCAGGCCACAGCGCCGTATGGAGCAGCATTTCTCAACGCCAATGGCGACGACCCAACGCTGATGTCGCAGCCGCACAACAGCCTGGTGCAGAACCTGTCGCCCAACATGGATAGCCGCGGCGCTCCTGTATTGTCCCGGGCATTGCCTGCAACCAGTGGGCCATTCTCGAATGGGCTTTCGGCTAACCCGACTATGCAATCTCTCACGACAACCGCAGCTACCGGACGCCTTACGCGTAACCGCAGCTTATTGCGGCAGTCGTCAGGCCTGACCAACGCCAGCTTCTATAATGACCTGGTTCCGCAGGCAACCGAATCTTTTTTTGCTCCACTGGACGAAGTGTGCTCAGACAGCGGCGAACAGACGCAACAACAACAACAACAACAACAACAACAACAACAACAACGGCTTCAGCTGCCCCAAACACATATACCGCCCATGGGCAACCAGTTCTCGCCGGTGCTGTCTCAGTCTGCAGGAGCTACCTCGCAGCGAATTGGCGGGTCGGCGTCGCCAATGTTCCTTTCTGGAGCACAACAATCCACATTATCGCCCCTGTCCCCATTAGCCCAAACAGCTGCCCCCTATACCGCCGTGCCGAGCCCTGCATCAGGGTCCACTAATCATATGCCAGGGTCGGTATTTGCCCAAATGCCGCTAATTTCGCCAGCCAAAAGATCCTCCGACGACATGGACATCTCTTCAAGCAACGACTCCAAACGGCGACGGACAAGCGGAACCCCGCATAAGCGGGACCAGCAGCGGCGGTTCAACTGCGATCTATGTGACCGGTCATTTGCCCGCCAATACAATCTCAAAACCCACCGGCTTACACACTTCCCCAACTCTGACGAGTCTCGACCGTATAAATGCTCTAGCTGCATAAAGGCCTTTACAAGGCGCCATGACCTGCATAGACATGAGGCGTTGCATCGCAGAAAGGGCAAACATATTTGTGATCGTTGTGGTGGTGGTTTTCCTCGTAAAGATTCGTTACGCACTCATCAAAAAATGGAGTGTCCAGAGTGATAATTCTATATTTTTTCTGCATTCATTACCTTTTGTTATTTTGTTCTTTTCTAGCTTGCTAAAAAAAAACTTACTGTTTATTTTTCTTTGTTTATTTTTTCTTCCTAGAGAGAGATAACTATAAGAGTTTTTGGCTATAGCCGCCTCTAATGGATTTACAATATTACTTTGTACTAGCCAACAAAACAAAAAAAAGCAACTCTGCCTTCTGCGACACCGGTGCAAAAAATCTGCAATACCAATCGAAAAATCCTCTGCTGCCAACATGCACGTAAGGATTTGCAATTCTCTATCCAGCTACTGCAACTTACTCACTTCTTTATCCGATAATCTACATAAAGTTTCCATAAAAAAAATTATTTGTTGCGTTAAACAAAACCATATGCTTTTATACAATTGTTCAAGACAACTGTCAAGTTGGTTGAGCCTCGTTAGCTCAGTGGTTTAGAGCATATGGCTTTTAACCATAGGGTCGCGGGTTCGATACCCGCACGAGGCTCTTTTTTTTTTGCATTTATTTTTGTTTTGTACTATTAATAACCCTTCCTCTCAAGCTGTATTAGAACCAGTCAAAGAATCCCCCACCAAATCTATAATTTGCAAAATATGGGCCTTATTTATGTTCACTGTAGTATATTGCTGCACATAAATAGAGGAGGATATCCGAAGCTAAAAATAATAGGAATAGCTGGTTGTATAAATACTAAAAAGCTAACTAAACTTAATATAATACTCTGACGAATATAAGATAAGTGCTATGAAACAAGCCAGGTTGAATCAAAAAAAACAAATTTATCTTTTTCAATTGAAGAGGATGCTTTTCTTTTTATATTGCACTTGTATATAATGGCAGCACTATAACTGCTTTCATCTATATGCTTTCATTGCCCAACTATTTGCTATTTCCAAGAACAACTACATAATTTTCTAGCACAATCAGCTATATAAATCTCCATTTGCTTCACCTAACAATCTTTAGCCTTATTTTAAAAAAGACATAAAACCAAAAAAGTATGCTGTGTTGGAAAACTCTTTCAAGAATGTTTTCTGTATATCTTGCCACTATATTTTACAAAAAAAGCTAAAAGGGTACTTGGGTTTTTTATGTCCATTCCATAACTATACAATGCTATAGTAGAACTACTTTTTGCTTTCTTGAATAAGTCTATACTATTCACAACAAGCCCACAATTTTGGCAAAGCTAGAGAATATGGTATTGTTAAGCTGGCTGCTAGAGACAGATTGCCACTCTCTATATAAATGGAAATTACCAAAATAAAGAGAAAACATTCTTCTTATTAGAATATTTATGTATTTTAGGAGCTTAGTTAATCACTGCCATACTATTGTCCTTCTCATCAGCACATTTAATATAAAAGCTTATTAATTATTAATAAAAAGGCAATAAAGCAATTTGTTGAGAATTGCATGTCTTTTACATTAATTGTCATAAAGAAAAAGCAGATAAACGATGACAAACGACGCGCCTATTTAAAAAAAAAACGAGAATTCCTGCACTTCAAATAATTTTTTGTCTATCACCCTTTATTACAACAACTGAAAGATACGGAAATCATTATGTCTACCCGTTGGAAATGTGGAGAATGCAACACCATAATGGAAGAAAAGGATATAAAGGAGCATAAAAAAACTAAGCACCCCGGCGTAGTGGCGGTTCTCTTTGAAATGGTAGAATAGGTCCTTTTGTTTTTTTTTTTTTTTTGTCTTTTTTTTTTTTGTCTTTTTTTTTTTAACTCAAACAAGTTTAGATTACTTAGTGCTTGCTCGATTAGCTTTTGATATTCCTGATACTGAATGCTTGCTGAGACATTAACACAATAAGCTGCAAAGTGCAATGCAAATGTTTAAATTCTAAATTATATCTAAAGAAATATGCTTGGTTTATAACATCAAAACATACATTAATAGAAACAATTAATATCAATACGACTCATTTTCAGCCTCCTGGCCAAGCGAAATTACGCAGCTATCTGGCGAATCTCTCTTTTCATCAGCTTCAAATCGAGAAGCAGTGGCAGTTGGTGGAGTCAGTTCGTCGTGATGACGCACAGCATTGAGATATAATGCGACAGGATCGTATGGCGTGCCATCGAGTGTCAAACCCAGCTGTACTCGTCGCCGTTGACACATTTCAGGCGTATCTGAATCTCGATGCCGTCCAACCTCCACGGGAAACTCGATCCGTAATAGCCGGCCCTTCTTTGTTATATGCCAGTACCAGAACCATGCTACCGTGTACCAAGCGCCTGGAGCAATGTACCAAGCCAACAGCACGTCTATCGTATAGTGAGCGCGGTTGGCAATAACTATAAGCGAACCAGCTACACACAGACCCCAGGCACATGTCGTGAGCACCCGGCCAACCAGATTTTTGGGAGCAAACGATGTCCATACCATAGCACACACGACAAATATCAACGTGTGTCCAGAGTATATTGCGTCACCACAACGATGTAGCGAGAATGCTGTAAACACATTGCCTTGGACATACTGACATGATGGCCGTGGATCTGGCACCGACGTAATTGCCACGGTAGTAATTCGGATCAGCGATGCCAGCCCCCACGCCAGTAGCAGTCGACTGACTACACGCCATGGCCGCTCGTGTGATATCACCAGCAGGGCGGTAGGCACAAACATCAAAGCATCAAACATGTCGGTAAGCCACAGCAGCTCAATAAATCCAATAAAGCCGAAAAACACATCTGGCAGGGTGTACCGCGAGCCAAGATCGTCCTCAATCAACTTGCTCCGCTGCGACGCGACATTGGCCATCACGTTCATAAAATAATACGAAAGCCCAAATGTCAGTCCAGTCACAACGAGAAAACAGATGCACTTGCGGTCTAGCCACCAGTTACGACGTATCCGACGCCAAATTAATGCGACAATGCGCTGGCCCAACCCCCACGCCCGTATTGGAATCAGCTTGGGCATAGTAATATAGTATCTTTTAACAAAAATACAGAAAGATGAAAAGAAACTGAGCGCTGCAGTATGTTCTCTTTTTTTCTTTGGCCAATTCGACGCCACTAGGCTTGTTGTTAAGAAACCTCCAAAGTGATGAGCAAAACGATTGTTTCATATATTTTAATCTGGGCACCCAAATAAAGGGAGGGAGGGAAAGTGCACATCATAGCTGTTTCATAAAAAGCGGCAGCGTCAAGCCTACAGCAGAGCCAGTAAGACTCAGCCATGCACTCATATAGTTTTTGGCATCAATGGTTACGCCGACTGCGCGCAGTAACGTGGCAGTATGGCACGGATGAAGGTACACGAATGGCTCGTTAAGCACTGGATGATCCTGTATCCCCAGTGCACCACCAAACTCCACTGCCTTAATTGCCCCACGCACTTGCTGATCTGCCACCAGCAAATTGGTAACTTGCTCAGCATCTAAAACCACCCGAGACGGCTCCGATAAAACTACCCGCATATACAAGACCGGAACTCGCCATGATGCAGAGTACACTACATGGTATTCAACCTGGCCACACACTGTCCTCGTAGCTGCCGGCACATCGTCTGCCAGTGCCTCTACCGGATCGAAGTCTTCAACATTTTCTATCTCATCTATCTGAACATCACTGTTGCTTGTATCAGGCGAAAACAACGGTTGGTAAATTCGCACAAATTGCTGATGCTTGTGAATGTCGCGACGTATTTCAATGAGGCTTCCAAATTGCTCTTCAAAGTGGTCAATGCAGCGAAGAAATTCGGCGCGTGTCAAGAAGGGAAATTCGCTTAGCTCATCCATATCAAAAAGAAAATCAAAGCATGGCTGGTGAGCCGGCGGTTCATTACAGCTCACAAATCGATTTTCACGTGATTTGATCCTGCATTGAGTTTATTTTTTTTTTATTTTTTATCCAAAACGCAGATTGAAGCGGCTGCCTCAGCTTGATCGTCCTTTTCTCATCGCAGCGCTGACTAAAAGGTGCGTACTAAAGTATATTATTTTTACGCGTACATCCATTCGAACGGGCAAAAAAGGGAGGATTTAACAGCAGCAGCAACAATATCGACAGCAACAACCAATCCAAAAATGACAGAAGGACGAATCCAACACTATAATGAATGGATGCGCATGTTTTAAAAACAGCAGCGGCTAAGCGAACGGCACTGGGGATGGATGCACGCAGCCTATTTACCAACTAGAGAGGAAGGTGAACGTTAAACTAAAAGGCGTGTGTTTTTTTTTGTAGGAAATTCTCCGTTAGATTACGCAACCAAAAAAAGATGGCCACCACGCACATTCAGAAGCGCGAGGGCGAATTGCCCACTGAGACCGAGCTCTTGGTCGACCGTGCCCTGCAGGATCTTGAGGCGCACTCGCCTGAGCTGAAGAAGGACCTGCGTCCGATTCAAATCACATCGGTGAAGGAAGTCGAGGTATCGGCAGGCCGCAAGGCCATTGTGATCTTTGTGCCTGTGCCCCTGCTGAAGGAGGTGCACAAGGTGCAGCAGCGCGTGACTCGCGAGCTGGAGAAGAAGTTCTCGGACCGCCAGGTGCTGTTCATTGCCCAGCGCCGCATTCTCAGAAAGCCCGCCCGCATCAACCGCGCCAAGCAGCCCCGCCCCATGTCGCGCACGCAGGCTGTTGTGCACGATAAGATTCTGGATGATCTAGTGTACCCCACCGAGATCGTTGGCAAGCGCACCCGCGTCAAGGTTGATGGTTCCAGAACCATCAAGGTCTTTTTGGACTCCAAGGATGCTACCAGCCTTGAGTACAAGCTGGACACTTTCTCGGCTGTCTACAAGCGCATGACCGGCAAGGATGTTGTGTTTGAGTTCCCCGCTGAGCACGCTTACTAACTTCTATTATCTCCTTTTTTGTTTAGCTAAAAAAAAATATAAGCAGCACACTTTTTCTGCCTACTAATATTTTTTTTTAAAGAAAACTTTAATGTAAATGTCCGACGATGGCCATGCTCAAACTGCATCGACGATATTCCGTAAAGTATGGAAGAGTAGCCGGCCTCTGCAAATAGACAAATTCACTCAGCAACAGTTGCTGCCACTCTCTTGGCGAGACCTGGGCCTGCTGCTGGTCCAACTAGTCCGGCCACTAGAACACATACACGACAACAGCAACCAGATCGCATCCTGTATTCGGTGCCTTCTGGCACTGGCTGGCACGGTAACGCATATGCATACCGCTGCAGACTTCCCGCTGCAAACTATGTCGTCAACCGTGTCTCCAGTCAATCCAGCATTTGTCGCCAGGATGTTTTCTGCTATAGTACGTGCTACTGCTACATTTGTAAACGATCAGAACGCCTCTAGCGAACTTGCTGCTACAGTTTCAGCCGTGCTAAAGTGCATATCGCAGATTCTGAAAGCACCCACGTCAAAGTTTGCCACAGATTCGGTTCTTGACGGGCTAGCAATGAACCAGAAACCAGTTAAACGGCGTCGCATTGACAATGAGCCGCAGCAAAGCTTTGTAGATCTGCTAGCTCGTATATTGCAGA